CCCGCGGGCGTGACCGCGAGCACGACCAGCAAGAGCGCGCACAGCGACCAGCCGATGAGCATGTACGGCTTGCGGTGGTAGCCAAAGATGGGAAAGCAGTCGTTGAGCATGCCAAAGACGACCTTGAGCGACCAGCCGAGCGTCAGGAGCGCGGTCGCCGAGCTCAAGACGTTGGTCTCGAGCGCAAAGTACCCGGTCAGAATCGGGTACTTCATCACGGTGAAGCCGCCGTAGACGATGCCGACCATCGCGTACTGGTAGAGGATCGCGAGCACCTCGGGCGATGTGTACACGGGGGCATCGCCGCCCCGCAGCGCGCCGTCTTCGATCTCGCCGGGCGTCTTGGTCTCGCCATACTCGTGGCCGTCCGCGTGCGTGTCAAACGACGCAATGTACGAGACGCGCTCCGTCGTCAGCGGTTCCTTGGTCAGCATCGTTTTTGGTTAAAAGGCAAGTTGCAAACTGAGGCGAGAGCGGGAGATCGAAGTTGCTGTCCGGATAGCCAGGACGACGACGACGGCACCTTGAGGCACAGCACATGGTCGCATAGGTGACCAAGCACTCACGTTTGTTTCGACACCGGGCAAGATAGGACGTCGATCAGTTCGGCGTTAGAAGACTCAAGCTCGGGTTCTGTATGATCAGATACCACGTGGTACGGTGGTAGATCCGGTTTCAGGTCCAAACAACATTGCTGCACGCCAAGTTAATAGTGCTGTAAATATGTAGTAGCTCAACTCGACACGCATTCGAGCAAGCGGCATTGCCTCGCTCGGACAGGTCTTCTATCGCAGCCACGATTTCAATATCTACCTCATTTCGAGACTCACTCCCAAATATAAAAACCGAGTAACGACGATGCGGAGCGGTAACGTCGGTTGACGTTGAAGTGGTCAGGAGCAAATACGCGGCCGACAGTTCGTATTTTGCAGCGTCGAGTAATAGCACATCTCTTACGTTTCCTCTTGCTCACTTGTTCACGACCGATGTTTCGCTCAGATGTTCTTCGTTCCTCTCGATGCAACGATGGAACGTTCTTTTTGAATGGGTGCAACACGGATGGGCGCTCGGGAACTGCTCAACTTGGAGCTGGTTGCAGAAGAGTGCACCAGAGGCAATCATCCGCATCGACATTAGTCTGCACCCGGCGTTTCTACATGGACGCTCACCATTCACAGAACTCGCGAGGTGATCAAACTCCAGGTACCGTACAATGCCCATTGAATTGGAACAGGAGCATCGTGGTGGGGAGCGGCCAGTTGTTGCGTTTACCCATTTGGAGACTTTTTGAAGTACGACTCTGTGTCCGAATTCTGTGGCGTCCAAAACCTATACTTGGGTCTTGTATGGTATCACACACGGGCGCGTATCTGGGTCGGCCAGCAGCTGTTGACCAAGGGCAATGAAGGCAACGCCACGTTATTACAACCTTGTGATGGCATCGCGAATGAGCCTACAAATGAGAGGCCAGTGTCACTCGTGCTCTGTCGGCCGCTATGTTTCTACCGCACCATGTCAACGACAGCAATGCCACCGTCGAGCTTGGAGCTCTCTGCAACCGCACCCCAACGCGCCAGCTCTCGCCCGAGCAAAAGGAAATGAGTCGCCAACGGTCGCGCATCTACTACGCCCAGCACAAGGCCAAGGTGCTTGCCAAACTCAAGGCGCGCTATGACGTACCGTGACCAAGAGCGGGCGCGCCGACGAGCGCTCTACGGGCGCAACAAGCAACAAGGCCATTCGCAGCATGTCCTATCAGTCGTCGCCAAGCCTCATTCGTCTCGAGACAGTATCGGAAGCACTCTCTCTTGCGTTTATCCTCAACTAGTGAGGGTGTTTGTTGTTTGTGTCGCTCTGTCGGGTTAGGGTAGGGGTAGGATAACCACCTCGCATCCTGCAACATCCAATATTGAAGTAGACAACGTACTGCGATATACTTGTGTTAGAATCGCTTCAGTGTCTATTCTATCTCGACGGTTCGTAGTCACGTATCAGAGAAGCGGCATGGCCGGGGTGCTCCCCACTCGTGCGTCTTCCACCACGTGGGCTGCGGGAGGTGGCACCCCATCCTTGTCGGTCGGTGACAGCACACTTGGACACGATCCGAGCTGTACTCGAGCGGTGCCTCTCGCGTGTCATCGTCAAGACAGAGGTACTGTATTGTGTGTGGCAGCGCAGCATCCAGAAGGCGCCAGCGCATGTCGTCCCACGCCAGATTGTGCAGAGCAAGGCGCTGGAGTCGACGACAACGAGGCAATACAGGTGCGAGCCACTGCACGAGTGCACGTTCGGCCATTGTTTCATTGCGCCACCGGACGCGCAGTCGGAGCTCCTCGAGCTGACGCAGCTGCGGCAAGACAAGAGACAGTGTCGTCGCCATCGCAGTCGACGCCTCGACAAACGTGAGGCTCACATGTGAGATCGCCGCCATGGTCGGCAAGACGGCAAGCACATGAACGACCGCGTCGCTTGGAGCGTGGTGCCGCGACGCTGTCTCGTCCCGCAGACTCAAGTGCGTGAGCCGTGCGCCGTGCAGCGCCCGTAGCAACGGACCTGGGTCGTGCAATTCGAACGTCGCAATGTCCAGATGCCGCAAGCGCATGGGCAGCGGGCGATGGAGCATCGCCTGCAGAATGCCCGTGCCGTACGATAGCTCGAGTGTGTGCAGAGTCGAGCACGCATGCAGCGCGTCCGCAATGGCCTTCGCCCGCGCCGGCTCGCGAACGTGTAAAAAGTTTAAGCGCAACGTGCACAGCGCCAGCCGCGTCACCGTGGCCACGAGCTGCGTCTCGAGAAACGTGTTGAAGAGCGGGTCGCCTGCGTTGGCAATGCAAAGCGTCTCGAGCTGCGTGGGCAGCGCGGCAAAGAAGGTGCGGAGCGCGGCGGTGGTGTCGGATTGCGCCATGTGCAGCAGGTCCACGCGCCGCAACGATCGCGCCGAGCGCATCCAGCCAGCGACGGCGACGAGATGCGCGTCCGTGTCGCTGTCGTGGCCCATCAACGCGCACGCGACGAGCCGGGCGCCATGCCAGCTGGCCGCGTCTTGCATGCTGGCCTTGGCGACGACCGCGACCTGCGACGCATGCATGCGCAGCGTGTCGACCGCCTGCCACGAATCGAGCGACAGCGGCAGTGGCAGCGCGAGGAGGCGCAGGCCGTCCATAAAGACAGCACGGTCCGAGAGCCATGCCGAAGCGCGCAGGCAGGGCCAGAGGTCGGCGACTGGCAGGCGCTGCGCGAGCGCGAGAAAGCTCACGAGCGGCGCGACGAGGCCATCGGCCGGCAAAGCTCGTAGTAGGTTGTGCAGCGTGTATGGGCAGCACGTACAGCGCGCGATCATGGCGACGACGCCGGGTAGCGATGCGACCTGCGCGGCTGCTGTCATCCTGCGTCAAAACCGATTACCGTGTACCTGTGCCTATAGCCGAGTTTGAGTATGGTATGTCTCTTAGCAAAACCGATCCTTTATAAGAAACCATGTGCGTAAAAAGTATCGGTTATTCGAAATCGATAACGGATACATGGCCGGAACGGCCTGTCTGCGCTACTTTACGAAGCTGCTTGGCGCCGAAGCGCCGCCACCTTGTCCGCAAACGTCAGTTGTGCAATGTCCTGGGTCGTCCATGACAGCGACGGAACGACGCAAACCGGCGACACCGCGCGCAGGGCGTCCATGACCTCGCTATAGAACGCCTGGCACGCGACCGAATTGGCATACGCCTCAATCTCGGCCGTGGTAAAATTGTCGTAGACCATGAGCTCGTCCGGACGGAGACCGAATTGGGTTGCGCAGGCGTGGCTATGGACGCGGCGAAAGGCCGGGGCGAGGGCGCCGGCCAGCGTGCCGTCCGCACAGTCGGCGATCAACGACGTTCGTTCGGTCGCCGCTGCCACGCCCCACACAAGCGGCAAAAGAAACCAGCCTCCATGCACCATCGTCTCACTACGATCGCGCAGAATGCAAACTGCTTGTCCGATAAAGCTACAGTCGAGGCAGTTGCGTGTAAAAACTCACCCCGCCTTTCCCCTACCCCGCCGCGGGGTAGGGTACAGCACCGAGAGCAATGTACGCGCATCGACCGCGGGCGCGTCGTCCTGTTGCAGACGTCACGCGCTGTCAGATGACAGCTGAGCTTGTGTGTTTTACGTGTGCTCCGCATCCAGCTCTGTCATTTCCCAAAGCGCGCGGCCCAGACGATGTGTAGTTCCTTGTCGGGGCGAACCCGGGTGGCACGATAGATAGATAGATAGATAGATAGATAGATAGATAGATAGATAGATAGATAGATAGATAGATAGATAGATAGATAGATAGATAGATAGATAGATAGATAGATAGATAGATAAAATGCATTGCATGTTAGCGTTGCCACTAGATGAGGAGGAAGCTGCCGTTGTCGCCATTGGACCGGGTGGTGTGTCGTCGACCATCGAGCGCCGACCCGTTCTCCGACCGCTTCCGAGACACCTAGCCCAAGTGTGAGATACCAGAGACACGATGACGATATTGTACATACCGCGCGGGCGTCTAAATCCGAGCCAAACAGCTCCAGCGCGCGGTGGGTATCAAAGGTTGCTGTCGTGCGGGGGCTATCCAGCGTGCGGAAGTGAACGCTTGGTGCAGCCTCGGTCGCCTCCATTTTGCGCACGAGCTCCGCAAAGACAGAGTTGGGTGCCATGAGCAGCTCGTGGTACGTGCCCTCTTGAACAACCGCGCCGCTTTGCATGACGAGAATCTTGTCGGCGTTGCGCGCCGTCGAGAGGCGATGCGTGACCGAGACGATCTGTTCAAAACCCCTCAGCATTCAAAAATCCGAAATGCAACGCAACATTGTACCGTCATGTGTAGCTGCTTGGCGAGCCGCTCGAGCGTCTGCACAATGCTGGCTTCGGTCTCGGGGTCCAGCGCGCTCGTGGCTTCGTCCAGCAAGAGCAGGCTGCCAGCATTGTATCAATCGTTCAACTTCAAAGAGACGCGACTACCTCGGCTGACGCACCAGCGCGCGAGCAAGGCAGATGCGCTGGAGTTGGCCGCCACTGAGGTTGACGACTGCGTGCTGGCCAATGATCGTGTTGTAGCCGTCCTTGAGACCGTCCACAAAGATGTGGCACTCGGCCAGCTTGGCCGCTTCCAAGCACGCTTCCCGGGTCGCACCGTCCCGGCCATACCTATCCACATCCATCGTATGAGCCATCAACACGCACGAGACAAGGAGCGGACGCAATGTTGTCGAGGATCGAGCCGTTGAGAACGCCGCCGTCCTGAAACACGACCGCGGTCTGGTCACGGAAGCTCGCTTTCGAGTAGGGCGCAATCGAGAGCCCATCCACACAGATCGTGCCCTCGCTCGGCGTGTAAAACTGCATGAGGCAGGCGAGGAGTGTGCTCTTGCCGCAGCCACTCGGGCCCACGATGCACGTGTACTCGCCCTAGCACATGGTAAAGGCTGCCATGGCCGCAAGGAAAACAGCGTCGTCTACCTTGTGAAAGGTTGCGTGCACATGCCGGAGCACGTACTCGGGTGCATTCGCATCGTAGCGAAAGCACACGTCGGTCACCGTCATGCTGTGTGTCATGCGCGGTAGCGCCGGCTTGTTGGCGTCGTCGGCGTCGCTGGCGGCAGCCGTCACAGCCGCCTACGCGTTGTTGTTTCCATGAAAAATGCAAAGAAAGCTTCAAAAACAACGTACATTGCGTACGATCTCGTCGATGCGCTGGAGACTCGACGCGTTGCCAATGGCCACGCGCATAAAGCCGCCGAGGACCGTGACGGGCGTCGAGATGCGGTTCAGCATCGTGACGCACGAGAAGAAATCGCCCGACGTGATGTCGCCGTGAAACACCTTGATCACGAGGCACGCGGTCATGATTTGGACAAAGATGAACATGCCCGACTCGATGTAGATCTGGACGACGCCGCTCCAAAAGTCTTTGGCGAATTGCGTGCGCCGGAGCCCGCCAAGGTGGGCGCCAAATTTCGTCAAAAGCGGGTCCTGGATGTGGTACGCACGCACCACTTTATGGCACGCGACCGCGTTCTGAAACTCGGCCGCTACGTACGCACTCTGCGAGCCAAACTGCTGCGACTTGCGCGCTACGAAAGGGAGGGTTGGAGAGGGGTAGGGTAGGGGTAGGGGTGTAGTACCCGCGAGGCCTTGGGGCCCGGACGTGACGATGATGGCCGAGAAGGCGAACGACATGGCGCCGATCGTTGGCTCCGAGTACATGAGGTAGACAAAGCCGACGACAATCGATACGATCGGGTTCATGAGATTCTACAAAAAGGCAGAAATGTCGTCCGAAAATCGCCAAAAAATCGGAAAAATAACGGAAACATCGACCACGCACCCAAAACACGGCTTGCCACATGGCGTTGACGCGCGCAATGTCCGACTGGAAGAGGTTGTTGAGGTCGCCGTCGGACCGGGCGGCGAAAAACTCCGTTGGCTGCCGCAAGAGCACGTCAAAGAGCGTGTCTTGCAGTCGCTTGGTCGCATTCGCAATCATTTTCGATTGGAAATACCCTACGCGCACCACTGAGTCCAGAGAGAAAGAGACGTCGGAGGTATTACCCATGGCGTAATCTGCGACGACAAACGGGATGCTAATCCCAAGGATGCCAATGACACCTTCCAAAAGGCTGTGCCACGGCACGAAAGGCAGATCCACGAGCGTGCCGTTATCGTTGGACGTTTGGTTCTTCCACTTGAAGCTCGCGTGGACGCTGAGACCTTGGTCAAGCCCAAAGTCGTCAAAGTTATGGAGCGCGTAGACCCAGACACTCGCAGGAAACCCTTGGTCCGTGCACAGCTTCAGGAAATACGCGAGCAGCGGCAAGATCGACGCCGACACGAGCACGACGAACGTTGTGAGCGCCAAGTCCACCGACTGCGTGGACCAGTGCTGCAGTGTCGACCGCACCACGTCGTAGGCGCCATACGCCGACCCACCAAAGCGGGCATCAATGTCGCGAAGGTGGCTCAGAAAAGCCGAAGCGGTCATGTGTCGAGGCCGGCACGGCAGCGCCCGCTCGAGAAAGGCCAAGAGCTCGGCGCGCGTCATGTCGCCGTCGTCGCGGCCGCACACGATGCGCAGCTCCGTGTCGAGCTGCTCGATCGCGACCTACCATCATCACAAGGTACATGTCAGAAAAAGTTTTTTAAAAATTGGTGAAAATCGACAAGATGCTACCGCGGTGATGTGGGGCACGTGGCGAAGCGCGGCTTTGACGGATGCAATTGAGATGGCCATGCTACAGCTGTACTTGCTAATGGTGTGGAGCTTCTTGGAAAACATGCGCGCGCGGGGCTTGAGCACAATCCGGGCCGCCAGCAGGACCGTGTACGCCGTGTCAAAGTACATTTCGACCTGGTTGGACACAAACTTGGTGTTGGTCTCAAACTTGGTGGTCCAGCCGTTGGCGACAATCTTGAGCGTGCTGAGGTCGTCGGCGAAGACGTATCTACGACGTCTGCTTGCACCAAGATTGCCATGCGAGACGTCGACCTACCGGAGGACCAAGCCGACGCCGAGCAAGACGAAAGCGATCGCATCCGCCATGAGAAAGCCCGAGCGCGTCATTGCACCGCGCAGCGCGACGAGCCGCAAGAGCATATCGACGGCGTAGACAACCATGCACGCGGCGGATGCGAGCCGCGTCGAATGCGCATATTGGATGAACGAGTCTTTGGACGTAAAGGAGACGGCGATGCAGTTGCAGAGAAAGTCGAGGGCGAGCACACCCATGAGGCTATAGTGCCACCGCCGGTGGTCCACCACGCGCAGTGTCCCAAAGCGCATGGACCGTGGCAGTACTGGCGGCGCGTCCAGAATCGGTGTCACGTGGTGCTCCGAGAGCGGTGTGAGGCCCTCCATCGGCATGCTGGCCATCGGCGTCGACGAGATCGGCGTTGTGTGCTGCGGTACCATCCTGTCCAGTTGCCAGAATGCCTGCCGCCGTCCAAAGGTGCGTCACTGCCGATCGTTTCTTTTAAAGGGAATGTGATTTTCACATGCCAATCAATGGCTATGCACTTGTTGTTGGTATAACGAGGTGTGTGTTTCTTATTTTACACGCGCGTAGTGATGTGACAAAAGACGGCAGCGATCTGGGTGTGCCACTGTCGATTTCGAAAAGGGGATCTTCGAGTGCGTCTTCGATTGACAGTTTGGGGGTCGATGCGCAGTCGTCAAGAAACGACAATTCGTATCGCAACCTTGGTTATTAGCTACTTGTAATACCTCCTTTATGTTGCTGCGGCAGGTTGGTGTTTGTTGTTGCGACGTGGGTGGAGAGCTACGCACTTGGTCGGTCGCGGTCAAGGTTTGGTGTTGAAGTATCGGGCAACAAGTTCTGCTCGTGCATCAACGATATACATGATGTGGACTGCAAGAGTCGCGTAAGCTTATTCTACCGGTAGATCGACGACGTCCTAAGGCTCTGGGCGCCTTGGCGGCATCCGAGCACACCGGGAAATCATGCGACGTAGCGTGCACGTCGAAATGGCGTGTCCTTCGAACTTCGATGTGGCGGGTTGCAATGCAGTCGCCAAACAACCAGTATCCCTGACGCCAGCCCGCCCATCACCAGCAGAACGCCATACCGGCGCCGACTCTCACGGCGATCTGTGTCGCGACCGCCTTCTCTCTAGAATCAACCGTTGACGACGACGCCAACAACCGCCGAACGTATCATCCTAACTGCCCGTGCATGTCGTTGCTTCGCACTTTTCCTCGATCTATCGCTGGCGACGACGCCACTTGATCCGAATTGGTGGATCACACCCGGTGGTCGTGCAGAGTCGTCTGCCACACACCAGGCCTAATGATGTCTGTACCTACTGGACCGAACGGCAGAGACACCGGAGATCATGCGTGATGGGACCGGTGGAACGTTCTCATGCCGACGGTTGGTGCCTCTCAGATGATGACAAGCTCGCTTGATGGCGCCTCGTCACCGCGACACAACACAACTATCGACGCGTGTTCATAAAAAGGGCCCGAGAAAGGTCCTCGAGCTTCGTTACGCGAACAAAAGGGGCTCTGGACGAGTCTCTGTGAGGACATCGTGCAGTACATAGCAGGGCAATCGCGGTACCAGTGCTCTTGCGCATCCATGCGGCGGTACCGACACTCGACCTCCATTGCCCATGCGAATAAAAAGATTTTTGTTCACCCTTGAGCGGCGGGCCTCACCGAGTTGGCACTCGACAAGGTAGGAGCCTTCCTCTTGTGCCGTCCATGGTTGCTCGAGCCTTCACCAAACCTTCCTCACGCGTCGCTTGGACGAGGCTTTAGCTCCGACTCGTTGTGGCAATGAAGCGTCGACGGTGTGTACTCTACTAGGACGAGTCTAAGAAGTGGAAGACACTTTTGGTGCCGAACGACGAGCTAGCGAAAGCCCGTTCAAGGAATCGAGGAAGACAAGAGATCGTGGTCAAGGCACACGGGCGAGCATCGTATCTTGTGCGCTCATAGCCTCTCGATACAAAGCGATCCCGACCACGCTACTCCCAAGGCTGGCAGATACCAAGATACTCTTGTTTGCCCCAAACGTGCGTCTGCTCGGAGTTTGAGAATCGAAAAACGAAACGAGGCGCGACACGATCGAGTCCGTTTTAGCCCAAAGTGGGAACTACTACGCAGTACAAAGCCATTAAATACGTGGGTGCGATGCTCTACGCATCCCAGAAGAGCAGCATGTCGACGGCCAAGCGCAGCGCGAGCAGCGCAACGAGCGAGCCATCGATCGACTCGGACGACGCGCCGTCAAAATAGATGCGATATTGGGAGTAGTCATCGGTGCTATTGTTGCGCATCGTCGGTACGACATGGCCCGGAAAGGACTGTTGGCGTCCGGCGCATGCGGTGTCGGCATGGACGACGGAGCCGGTGTTGCCGTGGACGACGACGGTCGCGTGGACGACGACGACGATGGCGACGGCGTCGGCAAGCGAAGGATGATCGTGCCAAATGCGTCGAGAGACATGGTCGCGAC